TCAGACGAAAGCGGAAAAAAATGGTTAGTTTTAGCATAACTAGCCTTTACACAAATATACCGACTGACATGGCTCTAGAGGCATTAGAAATAGGCTTAAAGATGACAAAGAACGCATCGAACTAAGGTGCCGATCGAGGAAATCATACTGAGAATACGATTGTGCCGAACATCTACAGTTTTTACGTTTCAAGATAAAATATACAAACAAATTGGTGTTGCCATGGGATCACCAATATCCCCTATCATCGCAGACATTTTATGGATAGTTGGGAACAGATGACCCTTCAAACATTTAGTCTTACTCCAAAGATATGGTTTCGATATGTAGATGGTACGTTTACAGTACTGAAATCGGAACACATTAATAGGTTCTTGGCACATATAAATTCAGTAGTGGATGCAATCCAATTTACCTGTGACTTAAAAGTGAAGGAGGTGAACTAGCAATGTTGGATTGCAAGATTAAACGAACACAACAAGGAAATTTAGAGACTAATGTCTATAGAAAACCTACCCATTCCGATGGCTACTTAGACTTCAAATCCTCCCACCCCATTTCAGTCAAAGTAGACCTAGTTAAGTGCTTAAGTGACAGAGCGAAAAGCTTACTTGTAGATCGGAAAATCTGCGACAAGAAATTAGACACACCAAGAATACCCTACGTCTCAATAACTACCCACCAAAGTTTATAATAAATTCATAAGAAATCGAAAGATCTTAGCAGTGGTAGTAGTAGTAATACAGGTGTCATTAATAATCATTCCGCTACTAATGGTAATAATGGTGACAGGGTTAAGAGAAAATTCAAAGCCTCTTCTGTGTTACCATACAAGGAAGGCACCTCAGAAGCACTAAGAAGAATTCCTAATAAGGCTGGGATTAAAGTGGCATTCAAACCAACAAACTTGCTTAGAAACAAGCTTTGTAAGTTAAGAAATCCTATCGATGCAATTCAGCAAAATAATCTGGTTTACCAGGTCCCTTGCAATGATTGTGAGGTCAAGTACATAGGTCAAAGCAGTCAGCCAGGGTTGATTAGAATAACTTAGCTAAATCAAGATTAGTAGATCTTAATAAGATAAGAAATCTAGAGGAATGCTCGACTATAGCTCCGCATGCGATGACACACAATCACACCGTAGGGTGGGATAGAGCGACAGCGTTAAGAACTAGATTAGTTGGGTGCAGTGAGGGCAAGATTGACAGCTGAATCTTTGTTTATCGAATCAACACAAAATACATGAAATCGAAATGATCCTGCACCTGTCCCAGATATATGGAAGATCCTACTACCCTTGTCACCACAGAGGGGAAAAAATTAGGAATATATAAACTCTGTATCGAAGTTGTGGAATCACCTGATATGAATATGGACAATAAATTGTGTCCGAAACGTTATCCAGTAAATGCTACTGTTCCACTCTCTGGTATTTCTAATAAACAGACAAATGGAATAATAACATCTTGAATGAGACATTTGTCTCTTTTCGCTGGTCGTCAAGGTACATTGTTACTCCATGTATCCTGTTTGTCAGACTCTGTATTAACCGTCATTTTACGGTGTTTGCGTGGGGATGAGTGGTGATTGGAATCCATGAAATTAATTATAGTCATTTAATTTCAGTCTCCAAATGATGCTTTACTCTTTGCATTATGCCACTGATTTCCCTGATGATTTTTTCTTCTTTTTGTGTAGGCTGTAGGCACTAATGTTGGTGAGTAACCACTAGCCAGATGGATGCCTGCTTTTACGAACAGATATAATATGAAGTAGATAAATACACATATTAGACCAT